CTAGGCTCAGCACCCCCAGTAGCCGAAGAACCTCCAGCACCAGCAGCACGGCTCCAGCGCTGGGCAAGCCACTCGCGCAGCTCCTGTGGAGAGAGTGGCTCCCGGCGAGACGAAGCACCCGGAGAACCTCCAGGCAGAGCACCTCCAGGCTCAGCACCCCCAGGCCCAGCACCCCAAGGCTCAGCACCCCCAGGCTCAGCACCCTCAGCAGCACCAGAGTCACCAGTGACCTCGACAGGCTCGACTGCGTCTACCTGGGACACACCTGAAGGGGCAGGACCCTGAGGGGGGAGTAGGTCTACCTGGGGGGGACCTGGTACAAGGAAGAGCGGGGGCGGGGGGAGGGACGGAGTGCGGTAGGGGAAGAGGCGGTAGTAGGGGACCGACTCATCAAACGTGACGTCCTGGGAGGACAGAACACGGCGAGAGGTGGGGTGGTAGAACTGCCACCCAGGCGCGTCAGGGGGGAACCCCAGGAAGACGCAAGGAGCAGCACGAGGGGACAGCTTGTCCGCAGACAAGTCGCGGACAAACGCCCGAGATCCCCAGACCCGGAACGCCGACGCATCGCCAACCTTCCCCGTCCATAGCAAGGCTTGGGAGGTCTCCAGCCTGGAGACCCTGGGGTGTAGGTTGATCTGATGCGCCGCGTACCTCACCGCAAACGGCCACAGAAAATGGGGGGCAGCTGCATGCATCATAGACGTACGAGCGACGTCTTTGACCATGCCAATGCGGCGCTTAGCAATCCCATTTTGCTGCGGAGAGTCCGGAAGCGTGAAGGTCTGACGGATGCCCCGTGCGCGACAGTAGGCTCTCAGAAGGCCAGAGGAAAACTCTCCGCCTCTGTCCGAGTGCAGACGCAGAACAGGAAAGTCTGAGCCAAAGCTCTGCCTGAGCTGGAGACGAGCTGCGCGGATCCAGTCGATCAGCACCTCAGTGACATCACCCTTGCTGCGCAAGGGGAAGACTGCGGTGTAACGCGAGTAGTCGTCAACAATGAGCAGGAAGTAGCGCTCGTGACCCTGTCCACGGACGCGGGCTGGGCCCCACACGTCCATGTGAAGCGTCTGCAACGGGGCCTCTGTCGGAGGAAACTGGGAGGAGTGAGGGGCAGCACGCTGGCGCCCCTCGACACAGGGGACACAGGTAGGGCCAGGGCCCTGAGGAAGGGGAGGAAGGGACCGGGGGAGACTAGAAACAAGAAGACGAGAGGCCATGCCTCTGAGCCGAAGCAGAGAGGGGTGACCAAGGCGGTGGTGCCAGAGGAGAGTCTCGTGAGACAGGAGACGACACGAACAGGGGGCAGACTCAGGACCAGACCTGGACGCTGCAGCAAACACCTGACCCGACGCAGCTACCCTACCAGACGCAGGGACTGGAGGAGATGCAGTGGTAAGTGTGTACAGGCTCGACCCCGGTCGACGAGTAAACGTGGCCAGGTGTCGGCCTGTCCGAGCGTCTGTGCAGTGGGTCACCCGCTGACTCGCAGGAGTGAACTGGTGAACCCCCGCATCCTGTAGGTCAGCACCACTCACCAAGTTTGTAGAGAACGAGGGGAGGTAAAGACCAGATAGGGTGCCAGAGGGGGCCGCCGGACACGGGAGGACAGTGGAAAAGTGAGCAAGGACAGGGCCCCCAGAGGGGTCTGCCAGAGAGACTGCAACTAACCGACCAAGCGGCGTGAGTGTGGTGCGGTCTCGAAAGAAGGAGCGGGAAGCCCCCGAGTCAAGGGTGAAGGTGTGAGAGGCCGGAGCCGACGCGGTACCTGAGAGAGCGGACTCACCCGCACCTGAGGAAGCAGACTCACTAGCACCTAGAGCAGCAGCCGCACTTGTACCTGGAGCAGGAGACACACTAGCACCCAGAGCAGCAGCCTCACCACCCGGGTCAGGCGGTACGCACAGGTGACCGGCACGGTCAGCACTAGTAGGCAATGCATACATGGCAGTGAGAATAGCATCATAGTCAAGAGCAAATATATCTACCCTCTGCCTAAGCAACTCCACCCAGTCGGGGAGCTCAGCCTCGTCGCCAAACTCGGTACGCCAGGCGTCGCTCAGACGGGCGAAGCAGCGGGACGGTGTGTGACTAGGCGTCCCACAAGGCTGACCAGTCTGAGCACCAGTGCGAATCACGTAAGAGCAGCGAACAGAACTGAGAGACCCTCTAGTCTGAGCGTACCACTCACGAAGCTGCTGGGGCGTGAGAGACGCGCGTGGGCGTCGCTGGAGCTGCATCTGGCCGCCGCCAGTAGTAGTAGCAGTAGTAGCGGCGCCACCCCTACAACCCCAACCAGCGTACCACTCACGCAGCTGCTGGGGCGTGAGGGACTCACGCTGACGTCGCTGGGGCTGCATCTGGCTCCGCCAGTAGAAGCAGGAGCAGGAGTAGCAGCAGTAAGGCAGGCAGCCAAGCAAGCGGCAGGCAGCGCGCTAGTAAGGCAGGGGCTCACCAGTGGTGGGAATAGCAGGCTCGACGACTCGGCGACTCGGCGGCACGGCGGCACTGCAGCAACTGCGGCTCGGCGGCTCGGGCGACTCGGGCGGCTCGGCGGCTCGGGCGACTCGGGCGGCTCGGCGGCTCGGCGGCTCGGCGATACGGCGGCTCGGGCGGCTGAGGTGGCGCTGCGGCTCGGGCGGCTCGGGTGGCTCGGCACTAGCTCGGCGGCGCCGGCGGCTCGGTGGTGACGGCGGGGCCGCTTGGGGACGGCGGCGGGGCCGGGTGGAGCGGCGACGGGGCCAGCAGAGGCGGCGCCGGGGCCGGGAAGGGCGGCGCTGGGGCCGGGAAGGGCGGCGTCGGGGCCGGCAGAGGTGGCGCCGGGGCCGGGAAGGGCAGCGCCGGGGCCGCAGGGGTAGTCGACGGGGCCAGCAGAGGCGGGGCCGGGTCGGGAAGGTCGGCGTCGGGGTCGCCGGGGTAGGCGACGGGTCCAGCCGAGGTGGCGCCGGGGCCGGGAAGGGCGGAGCCGGGGCCAGGAAGGGCGGCGCTGAAGCCGCAGGGGTAGGTGACGGGGCCACTAGGGCGGCGGATCGGGGCCGCGAGGGCGGCGCGACGCGGCCGCTAGGGCGGCGCGACGGGGTAGCGGGGCCGCGCGCCTCGGGGCGCGCGCCAGAAATAAAATCGCCGCGCGCGCACGCCGCGGGGCGTGCGACAGATCGAGTAGCAGCGGAAGCAGTAGTAGGGCCTTAGGAACAGTTCCCACGAGGGAACCTGCTCTGATACCATGTGAAGACTGAAACGAGGATGATTCAACTATGAATGAGTTGGGTACAAGTACTAACCCTAATTGGGTTTTACCCCATATGAGCTACCCCACTACAGCCTACACAAATGTATAAGCTATATGTTCTGACACCTTTCTCGTATCCCATGCATATGTGCGCACGTGCGTTGCTCGCAGGTACCCGTACGTCACGGGCACGTCGGTGCTGGTGATGAAGTAAAAGGGCGGCATCATCATGGCCAACAACTGCGAGCCCTTCCTTGGCTCGGTGAGAGGGATCTTTTGTCCTTCCTTCCTTTCTTTTTGCTTAGTATGAGCATTGCACCACTTTTGTTGAATGCTATTAGTCCATGAAGATTTCGAAAGAGACAGCAGAGGGAGTGACAATATTGAAGCCGTTTGCGCTGAACACTGAGTGGAACTACGCCCATTTGATAAGTACAGTGGTTCCTGGTAGCAACGCACGCCTCTTATACCAAGTGCATACATGCTTTAGTGGAGGCTCGAGTCGACGACAATGTTGACGCTAGCTATTTAACCTTCCGTATATTGTAATACATAGAATGCTTGACTGTACAGCAAAGGACTCTCTTCTCCAAACCGATTCTGACTAATCCGATTCTGTGAAATACAGTTTGTGGTGTGGTGAGACCTGAGGCGAACGCATCCCTTCAGGATCTTGCAACGATTAATCAGCCACAAGGTGGATTGGAAAACGAGGGGAGAGGTGAGAATCGAGTTTTTCCTTGAGTGGTCAGTGATGTTGATTGTTGCCAGGACAAAATGAGTGACAGACTCCCATATTGATGTACCGGTACTCTCGCTATGCTCCTACGCATGCGATTTCCACCACAAAACATATTGAGTAGTGTCCAACCAGGTTCTATGACAAATAAAACCATACTAGAAAAACAACGTGGGTATATGTGACCACAAGAATCAGATATGCCAAGGCCTTCAATTTAACTTCACTAGCAATACCAATGTTTGACTATGACAACACAACTTTGTTTAAGCTTCTGAAGCTTGCAGTTTGATAACCAGTATCGTAACAGTTGATTTGCATGTTTGAACTCGGTTTTTCGCAAAAAGATTCGCGAGCGGTGGCAGCAGCGTGGACCTCGTGCTGCCGTCGATACTTCAGAAGCCATCGTAATCCGACGGCGACGTTGTCAATCTGCAAATATTGATATGATTGGTTGAACAGTGGCAGCGACGTGGACCTCGGACCGTCGATTGTTCTGAAGCTATGGTAATCCGACGGCGCTGTTGTCAATCCGCAAATATTGAGATGATTGGTTGATAGTTTCGTGTGTTCGGCTCATTCTCTCCTCGTCGCCCCATCGGTTGTTCATAAATATTGGTCCTGCTTTGCTTTTCATCACCAGTTTTCGTCACAAGCGTTATTCAGCTTTCCGAAGACATCTCCTTTGAGTTAGTAACTTTGTGTCGATCTCATCGCAAGCTCTTGACCATACCACTCGCTTCGCGGCTTTCATCTCCCAGAATCATGTCAGGCCGAGGAAAGGCTGCTGGAAAGAAGGCAGTGAGCAGGTCAGCAAAGGCAGGACTTCAATTTCCTGTGGGTCGTATAGCCCGTTTCCTCAAGGCTGGAAAGTATGCCACTCGGGTTGGTGCCGGTGCTCCAGTGTACCTTGCTGCAGTCCTCGAATACCTAGCTGCTGAGGTGCGTAAGCCGTCACCAGTTAATTTTGCGTTTTCTCTCATTGCGCTTGAGTGATTATAGTACTTAACCTTTTGGCCTACTTTCTTTCAGGTTTTGGAGCTTGCCGGGAACGCCGCCAGGGATAACAAGAAGACTCGCATTGTCCCGAGACACATTCAGCTGGCCGTGAGAAACGACGAGGAGCTCAGCAAGTTATTAGGAATGGTTACCATTGCTGCTGGTGGTGTTTTACCAAACATCCACTCCGTCCTGCTTCCGAAGAAGTCGGCGGCTGACAAGGGCGAGACCCCAGAAGTTTAGTCCGACTAGGATTCTTTTTGGCTTGATACGAAGGTTTCCATCCTGTATATGCTATTAGGAATACACTGACTAGTTTCTTCAACTGTGGTTACTAACAGAGTGATATAGTATGATGTGTGTTCGACTCCTGTTGGAGCATTCGAATGGAAAGTAGGAATTTAATAACCTGAACATTGGCTAAATACAAAGCTGTAAAACAAAATATACGGTGGTAAAGTTCCAGCAACGATCATGAACATATCACTGTACTGTTCGCGTTAGAACAACTTGTGGCAATCCTCTCGCTGGTCTCTAGACCAGGGAGCTTTTGTCAGACCCGATTGGCATTGCAGCAAACTGTGTGTTCAGGATCTTTGTCGCGACTATCAGCCGTTTGCCAGAAGTGTCAGGCCTAAGTGGTGATCAGCTTTTTAGTTCCAGATACTACGCGTAATGTTAGCACGTCACCGCTGTTACTGGCTTTGTTCTCATGCACTGCCGACTACTGCCTCAGGGTCGACAGGAAAACATCTTTAGTTCCTCTATCTTGCTTGTGCGCTGGCAATAATGCAAAATCGACTCGCTCTTTCTAGATTTGTAGGTTCATCATGGGGGGTGTTCTGGAGATAAGCACTCCTCTAGTCGTCTCGCGTTCGAGCTGGATTGATAGGAAAAGAGCGGCCATGAGATCTCCATTCTGTTGTTGAATGTCTGACATTTACGTTCTAGCTCTATTTTTCCTTTCGACAGTAGAAAGAAACAGATAAAACGGCTTCACGTGGAGGCCATGTATATCGCGTACGGATGGCCGAAGGTTCTCAGAACGACTCGCGGTCCCGACGATCCAGTCGTTCACCTGGAGATCAGCGGAGGGCTGCTGATCGTGGTTCACCTCTCCTGCATTCAACTATGGACCTCCGGCCAGGTTAGGGTTTGAGAAGCGTTTGTACCATCATCTTCTAAAAAGGACTAGCATTAGAGTGTACTGGCTGCTAGACCGAAATTCAGTGAGTCGGCAGAATCTAATTAAGCTCAAGGCTTTTGCGAGGTGTGACGGAGTTTACGGCTGGAGCGACATGATGTGGACAGCATGACGGGTTGACCACGGCTCAAATCCTCTTCACCGTTTGCGTATCAATGCCTATAATGCATCCGCAACCCTAACGCGCTGGTGTGCTTGCCAGCCTAACTCTACCGTTGGTCCTATGATTACCACCCTGTCAAATCCCCCTTGTTGGTGTTGCGTTGCGATCGCTCATCTGATCTAATTTCGCAGCACCGCGTGAAGCTGGGCGAGTTCGTGCGAGATGACAAGTCTCTCCTAGAAGACGGTGGGAACCTGCACGCCATATGGAACGAAGCCGTCGAAACGCTCGCCGTGCTGGTATGCTGAAGCTTCTGGCAGTGCTGGTGTGATGAGAAGTGGGGGGTTTTTGTTGTGCTGAAGCCTCCTGGTCCAATTCTCTTTGTGTCATCTCATCTCCTTTCAACCCCTTTCTTCCCCCCCCCCCCTTTCAACCCCTCTCCTCTCCCTTCCTCCTCCCCCACCCTCCCCCCAGACGGCGGGCAGCGTGCTACACTTCTACGATGTGCGCACCACGCCCAAGCCCCTTCTTCCCCCCCCCGTTCTCGTCCCGACCCCATCCCCCTTCCCCCCCAACCCATCCCCTTTCCCCCAGACGGCGGGCAGCGTGCTACACTTCTACGATGTGCGCACCACGCCCAAGCCGCTGCGCCTGGTGTCGCCAGACTCGCCGCCCTCTCTGCTCGCCCTCAAGTTCCGCTCCTCCACGCGCGTGCCTCTCTTCGGGGACAACGTCTCCATGTACGCACCCCCTCCCCTCCTCACCCTCTTCCACACTGCCGTTTCAAAGTTCCCACATCAACTGTCATGTGTGCATTTCTCTCCTGTACTTCTCTTCTTAAGTTCCGCTCCTCCACTCGCATGCCTCTCTTTGGGGACAACGTCTCCATGTACGCACCCCCCCCTCTTCCCCCCCTTCCTCACCACCCCCCACCCCACCCTCCCCTCTCTCCCAACCCCCTCCCTCTCCCTCCCTCCCCTTCCACACTACTGTTTCAGAGTTCCCACATCAGGTGTCGTTTGTTCATTTGACTCCTGTGCCTCTCTCACGTCTCAAGTTCCGCTCCTCCACACGCATGCCGCTCTGTAGAGGCAACGTGTCCATGCATGCACGTCCTCCCCGCCCCACTGCCGTTCCCAACGTCCCATCCATGACAGCTCTGATTCGTTCATGTGCGCGCCTCACACCGCCATGCTCACCCATCCCAACACCGTTTACCTCTGTGTACCACCCAACCCCTCTCCCCCTCTTCTCCCCCCCCCCCCCCCCCCCCCCCCTCTCTTTCCCTCCTTCTGATGGACGAGGACCACATCCTGCTGAGGCTGTCTCCTCATCCCGTTCCCCCCTTCCTCCTCCCGCTTCCGCTCTCCCCCCCTTCCGGGCAGCAATGGCGTTGTGGCGGACGAGGACCATATCCTGCTGCGGCGGCCGGCCGGCCGCTCCCTCATGCCGTTTCCCCCTCCCTCCCCCGTGCACCCCCTCTCCCCACTCTTTGCTCTCCTTTCTCCCCCTCCCTCCCCCCCCCTTACCCTTCCGGGCAGCAACGGCATGGTGGCAGACGAGGATCACATTCTGCTGGGGCTGTCCACTGGCCGCCTGCACCTCGTGTCCTGGCGCGGCCAGGTGAGTGCGCACACGCACGTGTGTGCAGGTGGGGTGTGAGCGGAGGTAGACATGAAACTGAGGGGGGGAGGGCGCAGTGAGAGGTGAGAGGAGGAAGGAAGCGACGAGGTGAGGAGAGGGGTTGAAGAGGTAAGGGAGGGGGATGGCAGAAGTGAGGGCGGAAAGACGGCCGATAAAGTGGTGCAGTGGTGCGCACTCCAGCTGCGGGGCACGGCGGATCTGTAGCGCAAGCACAGCAGGGAGGTGGTGGGGTGGGGCCCATGTACGTCAGTCTGTGTATGACTCCATACGTCCCCCAATCACCAACCTCCCCTCCCTCCCCACCCCCCCAGCTGCGGGGCACGGCGGACCTGTGGCGCAAGCACAGCAGGGAGGTGGTGGGGTGGGGTCCATGTATGTTCCCGAAGCCAACGGCCTACCCAGCACGCCCCACTCCCTTTCTCCACTCATCGTTTCTCCCCCTTCCCCCCCCATCTCCCCCCCAGCTGTGGGGCACGGCGGACCTATGGCGCAAGCACAGCAGAGAGGTGATGGGACCCATGTACGTGCCAGAAGCCAACGGCCTGCCCAGCACGCGCCGCTCCCTTCATCCACTCCCCTCATTCCCCTCGTTCTCGTTCTTTCACTCCCCCCCTCTCCCCAGCTGCGGGGCACGGCGGACCTATGGCGCAAGCACAGCAGGGAGGTGGTCGGCCCCATGTACGTCCCAGAAGCCAACGGTCTTCCCAGCACGCCCCACTCGCCGCGCTCCTCCCCACTCGCCCCCTCCTCCTCCTACCCCTACCCCGCCTCCCCGCCCGCCCCCTCCGCCGCCCCTCCCTCCACCCCCAACGGCCGCTCCAGCGGAGGAGCAGACACAGGGGGCGCAGGAGCAGGGGGAGCGGGAGCAGGAGGAGCAGGGGGAGGGGTGTCACAGATGGTATATTCCCCGGCGCTGCGGCTGATAGCGGTGGTGCTGGTGGATGGGCGAGTGGTGCTGTGCTCCACGGGCGAGAGGGGGCTGAGGCCCGTGGAGGAGGTGACGCCAGAGAAGTGGGTGGGCGTGGTGGACGCGGCTACTGTGGCTGTGGGCGAGAGGCAGCAGCTGCTGGCTGTGGGCAGCAGAAGGGGGACGGTTGAACTGTTTGATTTGGCCAGGAGCTCTGCACACCTCAGGACTGTGTCGCTCTTCGATTGGGGGTGAGTGGGTGGGCGTGCGTGGGTGGGGATGAGTGGGGGTGAGCGGGCAGCAGCCAGCAGCCAGCATGTGCTGTCTTGTTATGGGGAGCCGAGAGCAGATAGTATGGAAGCTAAGGGGCCTGGCAGTGGTCTGATTCGTTCTGCCGCCACATGCTCCTCTTTGTCTCCCTTTCCCATTCCTCATTTAACCTTCCCCTCTCAACCCCTCCCTTGAACCTTCCAGGTACTCACTGGGGGACACGGGGGCAGTGGCGTGCATATGCTGGTCGCCAGACAACCTGGCATTTGCAGTGGGGTGGAAGCTGCGTGGTCTAGCCGTGTGGTGTCACTCTGTGTCTTGCAGCCTCCCTTGTCACCCATTCTTCATCCCCTTCTCTGGTAACCATCCTCGCTCTCCCATCCCTCCCCCCCTTCCGCTTCCCCCCCTCCCCCCCCGGCTAGGTATTCACTGGAGGACACGGGGGCAGTGGCGTGCATATGCTGGTCGCCAGACAACCTGGCATTCGCAGTGGGGTGGAAGCTGCGAGGCCTAGCCGTGTGGTCCGTGTCAGGCTGTCGCCTCATGTGCACCATCCGCCAGGGCTCCATGAGCCTCCTTCCCCCCTCCTCCTCCTCCTCTTCCACCACCACCGCTGGTATCACCAGTCCCCGGAGCTCCGCCGCAGGCTCGGACCCAGCCTCCACGCCAGGCTCGGCAGCAGCCGGGTCCGCTACAGCTGCTGTGGTGAAGAGCAGTGAGCCGATGGTGGGGGGCGTGGCGGCTGTAGCGTGGGGGGAAGAGGGGTACCAGCTTGTAGCGGCGGAAGCAGGGATGGTGGGGGAGGTGGCGGTGGGGGTGAGGGGGCGGCAGGCGGGGCGGCTGGTGCAGTTTGCGTTTGCGCGGCAGTGCTCGAGTAAGGCGGTGGCGGGGAGCTCTCATGTGTGGCAGGCCATGGCTGGTGCGGATAGGGTGCTGTTGGTGCAGAGCAACGAGGAGGAGGAGCTGAGGGTGCAGCACCTGGTCATCCCGGTGAGTGTCTGGGCATTTGGGTGGGTGTGCAATTTGGTGAGTGTGCGTTTGCACAACAGTGCTCATGCAAGGAGATCACGGGTTCAGACCGAGTGCTGCTGGTGCAGAGCAACGAGGAGGAGGAGCTGAGGGTGCAGCACCTGGTCATCCCCGTGAGTACACGTTTCTGTGAGTGTTCATTGCCTGATTTTTTCCATTTCCCCACCCAGCCCAGCAAACGTACATGGGCGCGCGTTGGGCCGTCCCCTCACCCACGTCACTTCCCCTCTTCCCTCCCAGCAAAGGCGTTTTCTACCCTGTTTGCCTCCCCCCTCCCCCCCCCCCCAGCAAACGTACATGGGGGTGAACTGGCCGGTGAGGCACGTGGCAGCAAGTGACGACGGGTCGTACCTGGCAGTGGCTGGGCGGCGGGGCGTCATCCTGCACAACCTGCGCTCCAACAAGTGGCGCGTGTTTGGGGACGTGATGCAGGAGAGGGCTGTCAAGTGCGAGGGGCTTCTGTGGGTCGGCAAGATCATCATCGTGTGCAACCACCGGGTGGCGTCCCACTCGTAAGACGATTCACCGAGTGAATGAAGGTTATTGTCTCACTCGTAAGAGAATGTGCTCAATGAACGGGTTGCTGCTGCACGCATTTTGCAATGCGACGGGCTACTGTGCAACGGGCTACTGTGCAACGGGTGGGCAAGGTCATCATCGTGTCTGCCTCCATCCTACGAAACCTCCCCACTCGCCCTCCCCGCTCCTTCCCCTCCTCCCAGCTACGAGCGCTGCCTTCCTGTGCTTCCACCTGCCGTCTGTCCCTCTTCCGTACCCTTATTCCCAGTGCCGCTCTCCCCTTGCCCCCCCTCCCAGATACGAGCTCTGTCTGTACCCGCGTTTCCACCTGGACGAGTCATCGCTGCTGTGCCGCCAACCGCTCCCCGCGCGGCCTATAGCGCTGGACGCGTGGGGAGACTACATTCTGGTGGCCACGCCCCCCTTTGACATCAAAGTCTTTCACATGCACGTGGAGGGAGACGTGTCACCGCTGCATCTACCCACCGTGCAGGTGTGTTGTATGTAAGCAGGGGGAGTTGTTGTGTGAGCAGATTCTGTGACATTTTCCAGGGAGCAGCAGTGACTAGGTTTAGGCTTAAGCAAGTAGGAAAAAACAGTGAAAATCTTAACACTAGCTAACAGTGAAACCGGAACTCTTCTCGTTAACAGAAATCAAAACAAGACAAACATGTTTCGGCTGGAGGGCATCCCCTACCAGGCCTTCATCAGTGCCTACGAGAATGAAAACAGAGTGGAGCAGAAGCTTTAAAAGAAAAGCTAACGCCTCCAGTAAAACAGAACTCAAGGTTATCTACACCCTGGCCCGCTCCAAAAAATTGGGGACCAATCCAGGTGGCCCTGGTAAACACCAAGAGCCACGTCTTCAACCCTCGAGGGTGTCATCGTTGGGATCAGGGTCAAACCCTTCGCCACGCAACAGATTCGGTAGTCGCGCGCGCACCAAAAGCTTAAGCAAGCTACACCCAATCGTCGAAGCAACAAAAATTCTCTCAACATATAATCCATGTGTGATTAGCCTGTTTTTGAGTCGACTCAAAAAAATGAGGGCCTCTAGCACCGGGTGTGTGGGGAGACTACATTCCGGTGGCCATGCCCCCCTTTGACATCCAATTCTTCCACATGCACATCGATGGGGACGTGTCGCCGCTTCACTTTCCCACCGAGCAGGTTGGTTGCGTGTGGGTGTGCTGTGCTGCACTGTGTGCAAGGGATGGGTGAGAGGGGGCCTTTAATGCTGGATGCATGGGGCACCTAAATTCTTGTGGCCACGCCACCCTTTTGACATCAAAGTGTTTCACATGCACGTTGATGGGGACGTGTCGCCGCTGCACTTGTCAACAGTGCAGGTTGGTTGTTGTGAGTGGGCGGCTGCATGGGTCGGTGCATGTGCGACTGCATGTGCGACTGCATGTGCAAAAGACTGCATGTGCGACTGCATGTGCGACTGCATGTGCAAAAGACTGCATGTGCGACCGCATGTGCTGCTCAACTATGCGCATCGAAAGGCACTCCACACTGCGTGAGCGTTAACTCCACGCCTCTTGTCTGTATAGAGCTCTCCATCATGTCTGCCCGCAAGCCTCTTATGTTTTTTGAGAATTCTCAAAAAACATTTCCTTCCTCACCCCACGCTCTCCATCATGTCTGCCCGCAAGCCTCTAACGCCACGCGCCCCTTGTCTCCTGTATGAAGAGCTCCATTTCCTTCCTCACCCCCCCCCCCACCCCTGCCTCCTCCCCCCACCAGCTGCGCACAGTGCGGGAGCTCTCCATCATGTCAGCGCGCAAGCCTCTCGCCGCCATGCGCTTTGTCTCATTCCCTCAAACCTTCCACTTTCTCCTGCCTGCTGCCCCCTCGCCTCCTTCCCCCTGCCTTACTCCCCCCCCACCAGCTGCGCACAGTGCGGGAGCTCTCCATCATGTCAGCGCGCAAGCCCCTTGTCTCCATGCGCTTTGTATTTCTCTCTCGAACCTTCCACTTGTTTCTTGCTTGCTGCCTCTTCGCCCCCTCCCCGCTCCCTCATGCCTCCTCCCCCCCCACCAGCTGCGCACAGTGCGGGAGCTCTCCATCATGTCAGCGCGCAAGCCCCTTGTCTCCATGCGCTTTCTATTTCTCTCTCAAACCTTCCACTTGTTTCTTGCTTGCTGCCTCTTCGCCCCCTCCCCGCTCCCTCATGCCTCCTCCCCCCCCACCAGCTGCGCACAGTGCGGGAGCTCTCCATCATGTCAGCGCGCAAGCCTCTCGTCGCCATGCGCTTTGTGCCGCGCACAGGGGACGCAGACGCTCAGGCGGAGGGGGAAAGGCAGGCGGGGAGCGAGGGGAATCGTGAGCGGGAAGGGGAGGGCCAAGGCGCCCTCACAAGCAGCAGCAGCGAGCAAAGACTGTGCAAGGAGGGGGCGCAGCAGGGGGCAGCGAGGAGAGGAGCAGGCACACAGGCAACCGGGAAATCCGGGAAATCTGGAAAAGGCAGCATACGAGACCCACTGGCAGAGGCGATGAGGCGGCAGCCCACCAAGTGCATGCTGCTGCGCACCGATGGGGACCTGTCTCTGCTGGACCTGGATAGTGGCAGTGAGAGAGCGCTGGTGGCGGGGGTTGAGAACTTCTGGCTTACCCAGGGGGGGGACGAGGCTGCTGCTGCGCTCATTGAGGAGGTGCCCTGGTGGGCGTATGGCCACAGGGGAATGCAGGTGAGTGCAGTGCGGTGCTGTGTGGTGCGGTGTGGTGTAGTCTAGTCTAGGGTGTGAGCCCACAGCCCACCAAGTGCATGCTGCTGCGCACAGATGGAGATCTAGGGTGTTCCTCGCATCTGCCCTCCCACAGAGTCAACTCAGCACCGCTTCTCCCATCGTTCCCCCACTCTCCTTCCATCCCTCTTCCCAACAGGTATGGTACCCCTGACTATACCACGATGCATCAGGCCAGCCAGCGGAGGTGCAGCAGTTGGACCCAGAGCTCGACTTCGGCCGCAAGGTGTACCCGCTGGGGGCGTCGCCTACACCTGCTCTTTCTGCCAGCACAGTCGCTGCTTCCCATACTCTCCGCCACCCCCTCCCTCCCTTTCCCGTCTTGCCTCCTCCTCCCATCCCCCCATCCCCCCCTCAACAGGTGTGGTACCCCTCCTTGTATCACGACGCATCAGGCCAGCCAGCAGAGGTGCAGCAGCTGGACCCAGAGCTCGACTTTGACCGCGAGGTGTACCCACTGGGGGTGTCGCCTGCCGCGGGGGTGATCGTGGGAGTCAGTCAGCGCCTGTCGCTCTCCTCCTGTGCCGAGATGCCCTGCTTTGAGCCCACGCCCCAGGCGCAACCGATTCTCCCTTGCCTGCTGCGGCACCTGCTGCAGGTACACTGGTCAATGCCTGGTACAGGTTTCCCGCGTAGAAGTTATTCTTTTAGAGAGGCACAGGTTCAATGTTGGTACCCCTGCTACAGCCTACAGGGAGTGTGCTGGTAGCAGCAGGGGTGATCGTGGGAGTCAGTCAGCCAGCGCCTGTCGCTCTCCTCCTGTGCCGAGATGCCCTGCTTTGAGCCCACGCCCCAGGCCCAGCCCATCCTCCCCTGCCTGCTACGGCACTTGTTGCAGGTATGGTTGGTGGTAGAGTCGGTACAGGTTTATCCAGTAGTAGTTATTCTTAGTAGGTACTGTTGGTAGCTCAGGTACAGTGGTGAGCTTGTAGCATGAGTAGAGACAGTACAGGTACATCATTGGCAGGTCCCTCCTCTTCCTGCCTCTTCCTTCTGCTGGTTTTCGCTCCACTCTTTCCTTTCCGCCTCCTCTGTCCGAATCTCGGCACACACCCGACCGCACACACCCGACCGCACACAAGATAGAGAAGCCTTTCCAGCTCTTGTGGAGGCCACATCCTCTCACTTCTCCACTCCTCTCTTTTTCCTCTATTCAACACAAACACCACAATCCCCCACAGCGCAACAAGATGGAGGAGGCGGTGCAGCTGGCGCACCTCTCAGCCACGCGGCCACACTTCTCCCACTCCCTCGAGTGGCTCCTCTTCACCATCTTTGATGCCGAGACGTCCAGGTGGGTGCTGCAGAGCGGTGCAGAGCGGAGCAGTGGGGTGCAGTGGGGTGCCAGTGGGATCAGGTTGGTCAGGTACGTTACCTCTCTGCCACGCGGCCACACTTCTCCCACTCCCTTAAGTTCACTTCAACATCTTCGAGGCCAAGACCTCCAGGTCGGTGCAGAGTGGTGCAGTGCGGTGCCCGTGGGATCAGGTGGGGCCAGGTATGCGCAGCTTATCATTCGTCTTCCAGACGTTCCAATATCCCCCTTCTTCCTCCTCTCTCGCTCCCTACTTCTCACCCTCCAAAGCCTCTCCAACTCTCTCTCACCCCTTCCCGTTCCCTCCCCCAACCATTCTCCCCCCTTCCCTCTCCTCCCACAGCGCGAGCGCACGGAGTAGGTGCAAGGAGGGGAAGAAGGGACCGTGTCTGCTGGACCGGGCATGCGAATTGATTCGGCACTTGGGGAGTACCGGGATGTGGTGGTGAGCATGGCTCTCAAATTCTTTTTTATGCTGACCGCCCCTCCTTCTCCCCCTTCCCTCTCCTTCCCTGCAGTGCGAGCGCACGGAGGCGGCGCAAGGAGGTGAAGAAGGGCCCGAGTCTGCTGGACCGTGCATGTGAGCTGATCCGGCATTTTGGGGATTACCGAGACGTGGTGATCAGCGTGGCTTTCAAACTCTTTTTCACCCTTCCCCCTCCGCCCTTCTCCCGCATCCCTCTCCTTCCCTGCAGTGCGAGCGCACGGAGGCGGCGCAAGGAGGTGAAGAAGGGCCCGAGCTTGCTGGACCGGGCGTGTGAGCTGATCCGGCACTTTGGGGAGTACCGAGATGTGGTGGTCAGCGTGGCGCGCAAGACCGACAGCCGCCACTGGCCCGACCTCTTTGCTTCTGCAGGCAACTCCAACACGTGAGAGGGCTGGGGGATTGGAGCACGTGAAAGGTGTAAGGTTTGAAATGCTGGGGTGAGAAGCATGCATAGTAGTGGGGAGTAATGGTGTGCGCATGCGCTGGTGGTTAGTGTGAGCAGGAAAACCAACGACAGGCACTGCCTGGAGCTCTTTTTTTCTGGGCTGGGTATGCAATACTTATGACTTTGGGTCATTCAGAAACCTGGGTGTGGGGTTTACGTGCGCTGCTGGTAATTGGTTGTCTTGTTCTCATTTTTCCCCACGGGGATGCGATCTGTTCATGGTTGCTTCTCTGCGTTGTGCCCTGCGCATCGTGGTTTCTGCCTGTTATTGTTGGCTTCTGTGTTCTGTGTTGGTCATCTCTGTCCCTGCGTATGTGTCCCTGCGTTGCACCTGGCAGGCTCTTTGAAGAGTGTTTTGAAAACAAGCAATACCGCACCGCCACGTGCTACATTCTGGTACGTGCCTCATTCGGGTCCATGACCTTGCTTGCACGTCCCTGCCAGGTGCTTGCACGTCCCTGCCAGGTGCTTGCACGTCCCTGCCGCTGGTCCTCTCTCTCTCTGTGCGTCATCAATAGGCAGTGGTGAAGCTCCAATGTCCAACCGTCAGCCAACGAAGCACTCTTCCCACCTCCCTGTTTCTGCCTCGCTTTCCTCTGCTCCTTTCCTAGTCCCCTCTCGTCCCTCCTCAGGTGCTGGAGAACCCAGTAGGCCTAACCATCAGTGAACGAAGCACCCTTGTCCACTTGCTCTTTTCTTCCTTCTCCCCTGTTCTCTTGCCCCTCTCCCTAGGTCTTTGTCATCTGCCCCATCAGGTGGTGGACAAGCTAGAAGGCCCAACCATCGGGTCAGCAAATCACGCTTCCCACCTCCCTGTTCCCTCTTGCTCCCGCCTTTCCAACTGCGCCCTTCCCTGCGCCCCTCGCGTCCCCCATCAGGTGGTGGAGAAGCTAGAAGGCCCAACCATCGGTCAGCAAAGCGCCCTGCGGCTCTTGCAGGTTCGCCTCTCCCCCCGTGCTGGCTTCCCCACCCTATGCCTGCTTTGTGTCCCCACGCCTGCTCGCCCGTTGCAGGGTTTTTTTGAGAAATTCTAGAAAAAGTCTCTGTTTCTCACCTTTCGTGTGAGACGATAGGAGCTTTGAGCTGCCTCAAGAATCGTCTCATCCTGTCCAACGCTCCTTTCACGGTTATGCAGTTGCAGCTGCCTTGTGCCCTCTCAGCCTGTAATGTGTCTGTGCGTGTGTGGTGTACATGTGTGCATGTGTGCACATGTGCGTGTGTATGTGTGCACGTGTGCATGTGTGTGGCTCTACAGGTGGCATTGCAAGAATCGATGTACGACTTGGCAGGCGAGCTGGTAAGAGCCGCAAAGCTGGTAGGGCTTCAGAAACAGGTGACCTGGTAGATCTTTCTATTCCCATTTCTCTTTCCAAACCACCACCACTCTCCTACCTCTCTCCGTCCTCTCCCCCTTTCCCCCCCCCTTTCCCTCCGTTTTCCCTACATATTTGCCAAATCCTTTTCCAGGAAACTCCTGCTTCAATCAATCAATCTTCCCCCCCCCCGTCCCAGTTCACCCCAGATGTCCTTGCTTGCATCCTTCAGAGTCACTTTTCTGTGCGTCCTGTGTTTCCTATCCCCATGCTCCCCATGCTCCCCATGCTTCCCATGCTCCCCATGCTTCCCATGCTCCCCATTCTTCCCATACCACATCCCAGGGGTGCGTCCTGCTGCGGTCAGGGCGGGAGTTCAGCCAGGCAGAGGAGGACGAGAGGGCCAGTGAAATTCTAGCTTTCTTCACCTCTCTCTATCCTTCCCATCGTCCCGTCTCCCATCCCGATTCCCTTTTGGGTTCCCCCCCTCTCTCCCTCTCCCGCCATCCCAGGTGCGCTTCCTGCTGCGGTCAGGGCGCGAGTACAGCCAGTGAATGGTACAGTGGAGGAGGACGAGAGGGCCAGCGACACCCCTGTTGCTTTCTTCCTGGTCAGGTCACCCCCTCTCCCCTCCCGATCCCCCTGTTCTCCAACCCGCCTTTCCCCCCAATGCCAGGTGCGCTTCCTGCTGCGGTCAGGGCGCGAGTACAGCCAGGCGGTGGAGGAGGACGAGAGGGCGAGCGAGAGTCTACTCAAGAGCTTCTTCTCCTTCGGATTCACCTCCACGTGAGTGCCCTTCCCTCTTGTCTGCCCTGGTGCACGTGAGACTCTCTCCTTCCTCCCCCCCTCCTCCTGCTCACTGGAGGACGAGAGGGCCAGCAAGAGTCTTCTCAAGAGCGTCTTCTTCTTCGGATTCACCTCCACATGAGTGCCCCTCCGCTGCTCGCACTTCAGTCCCCCCCTCCTCCACCCTACCCTGCTCCCCTTGAGTCTTCCCCTCCTCCTGCGTGCCCCACTTGTCTCCCACATCGTTCCCTGCCCGCCTCACATACGCACCCATCATCCCCAACCTACCCCTCGCTCCCTCTACCCCTTCTGCCTAGCGCAGAGAGCCCAAGGCGAGGAGGGACGTGTTGCACACGACGGTGAAGCACATTCTGTAGGAGAAGGCAACGCTCTCCCTGCTGACACCCCCCGCCCCCTACTCCATCGCCCGCCCCCCCTTCCTCTCCCCCCCCCCCCCCCCGCCTTTCTCATACAGAGCCCCCAAGGCGAGGGGGGACGTGTTGCACACGACAGTGAAGCACATACTGGGGGAGAAAGCTACGGCCCTCATGAGCAGCAAGGAGCTCCGGCAGCTCGTGGCGTTCGTGAAAGGCACCCAGTTCGACTTCACTGTAAGGGGCGCTGCCTCTGTGTGTCTAGGTGCCTTTTGAGTCGACTCAAGGCCAGTTCGTGGCGTTTGTTGAAGGCACCCAGTTCGACTTCACTGTAAGGGCTGCTCTATTTGTGTATGACTATCTATCCATCAACCCTACAAACATTGGTCTAGATATTGTTTGCGTTTGAAGGCCGATATGTGAGAGCCAGCCAGGGCACCCACATTAGCTTCAGTGTGAGTGGCTTTGTATGCACAGAGTTTGCTCAGCATGTTGATGTTCAAGGCCATTGTCCAAGCCCGTAGTCTGACTGACATTGAAGCTTGCGTGCGCATGTTTTTTAGTCGACTCAATAGCGTTTGTATGCACAGAAGGTGCTCAGCATGTTGATGTTCAAGGCGATTGTCCAGACCTGTATTTTTTAGGCGCCTAAAATATCAGCATGTTGATGGTCAAGGCCATTGTCCAAGCCCATAGTCTGACTGACATTGAAGCTTGCGTGCGCTTGTGCTGTGCCATGCTCCTGCACCAACATCAACATGTAACCCATTCCCCATTCCCCATGCACCATTCCCCGTGCTCCATGCACCACTCCCCGTCCCCCATGCCATATTCCCCATTCTTTGTGTCCCGTACCCCATGCACTGGCCCTACCAGGAATTCCTGCGGTCGGATCGAGGCAGGTCAATTCGCCTCGAAGACTTTCCCACTGCCCTGCGCACCATCCGCTACAAGGTACGACTCGTGGTTGCATTGCAGCACAGGTGACTTTTGAGTCGACTCAAAAGTCACCTCTTTCCCACTGCTCTGCGCACCATCCGCTACAAGGTACGACTCGGTGTTGCATTGCAGCATACATGGGGAGAGGATGGGGGAGGGGCGAGAGGGAAGGGGTTTGTTATGTATGTCATTACCCCGCTAATCATCCGCTCCCCCTCCCACCCACGCTGGACGCGGAGTTCCTGTTGGCTCCGTGGGCTTCCACGAGTGGACTGTCATGCTCGCCATGCTGCTGCATCCCTCCCTCATCAACAACACGCTCCCCCCCCCCCCCCAGATCGCCCTGGAGGGCAATCTACAGAGCAGGCTGGATGCGGAGTTCCTTTTGGCTCACGTGCGCACCGTGGGCTTTCATGAGTGGACCGTCGTGCTCGCCACGCTGCTGCAGCGATCTGAGGTGAGACGATCGGCCAATCTGAACAGCTCCAAACACTCTCTGAGGTTGGAGGGCTGTTTGGTAAAGGTTGTTTTGGTGAAGGGCTGTAATAACTGCAGCCCGCTTTGCCTGGATTCAACCAGCAGGGTGGTCATGTGTGCAGAAGGTAAGTTGCTAACCCAAGCCTTGCTCATTCACCGAACCTGCGTAGGCACCACTACTTGTATCCAACTCTTTCCGGTCGCCATGTGTCTGACGATTATCATTGTTGTTTCCTCCTGTGCCCTTTGGTGTGTGGCTCAGCAGGTGCTGGCAGAGCCGATTTCTGAGTTGACTCAAAAAAATGTTTCCTCCCGTGCCCTTTGTGCGTGTGACGTGCCCTTTGTGCGTGTGACGTGCCCTTTGTGCGTGTGACGTGCCCTTTGTGCGTGTGACGTGCCCTTTGTGCGTGTGATGTGCCCTTTGTGCGTGTGATGTGTCCCTTCAGGTGCTGGCAGAGCTATTCCAGAACGACATGAAGCTGTGGACTGCCTATGTGAGAGCTCTTAAGGTATGTGCCACGGCTGGTGCATTTTCAAGGTGAGTTTGTCTTGCACTTTCGCTTGATTCATTCACGATCATTCACACAAGAGCATAACGAGAACATGTCTCACAATTCCTTCTGGTCGGCCCTACCTTAGACCACGCACAACTTAATGCATTGTGCTTGACTGTCTCAGCATGATGGGATGTTGGCAGTGCGCTCTGCAACGTTCCAGGCCACCTATGTCCGGGCTTCCCTGCTCTCTCCCCTCCTTCCCTGCTTGTTCTCTGCATGTCTGTTTGTCTGATCATAATTTTCCCCCTTCTTGATGTTATTTATGTTCAGGCACAACCGAATGCATCACAGTATGATGAGCTTCTGGCAGCAGTCGAGAGAGACCTAACAGCCCATTTGGGTCCTGATAATCCTGCCCTCTCCTCATCTAGCCTTGCAATCCCTGCCACCACTGCTCCAGCTAGGTGATTTGTTCCCAGTTAGTACAAGTTGCAATGCAACGATAGGGAAGCCAATGCTGATTTCACAACCTTGGTTAATTATACTCAGGCAGGGGCAGAATCAAGTGTTGGAAAGTGGTGCACAAAATAACCAAGTGGTGTTATCCCATGTATCATTCAGAAAAGCAAGCGTAGCGTACCATACCGGTATATTTTTACAAATGCTGGAAGTGCAGTGGAGTCCATCCGGGCCCTGGTGGGTGGAATCCCACCAGGTCCCCCTCCTGGTGGAAACGGGTTCCCACCAGGGCCGCACACGGATGCAAGGGCTGTCGCGACCCCCAGCTGGGAATTGCATGCGAGAGGGAGTGCCCCGCCCCCTCCCAGGTCCCTAGCGAGATCCGGGCGGCGGAGCAAGCTGGCGGGGTGGTCCCGCGCCGAGCCCGGGCCACGCCAGCGCCACGCAGCGTGGTCCCAACCCCGGGCCCCCCCCGGGCCCAGCCCTGGCTCGCGAAACCCCTCGCTCTCCAATCCGAGGGCGAGGGCCGAACCCCAGCGCGCCGAGACGGATCCGGCCAATCGGAGCCGTTTCCGACTGGTCTGTCCCTCGGAAGAACCCTCGCGAAGTATTTCGCATGCAAATCCGCGCGTGCGAATGGCAATTCGGGCTGGCCAAAACGGATTCGGCCAATGGGAGCCGGTTTCGGAGGGACGGGCGAAGCCATCTCCGTGCTGCCCGAAATGGAGCCGGCCAATTGCAATGCTCGCAAGACCCTCGCGAACAATCGTTCGCGGAAAGCAGGCTGAGATTAAATTTACGGAGCGGAGTGTACGCCATTCGAAAGATCAAACGAAAAGATCAAGCGAAATAATCTCTCTAATGCATCGGGGAAACATTCAGTTGCGAGTTTACGTGTAATATAACGGAGTGTAGTGTTAATTCGGGTGACCCGAATTGGTGTACCCGATTGTTGCCTTGGACCTCGGCGGTCGCGACGAGGAAAATTCTCTCTCCGCGGGAGTTGGCAGCCCGCTCCGAACGCGGCTCGCGGATGGTGTGCAACGTGGCAGACGTTGGCTGCACAAGCGTGCATGTTGCGGAACCTCCCCGCTGGGTGAGAGGCCCGCGCAGTTTGACCGCGAGTGCCGTCTCTTGATTCCCTCTCGGCCAACTCTTAGGTTCTCGGTACGGGCACCTGGTGCTCATTTTCGTTCTCCGTCTTCACATCTTGTTTTCTTCCTGCTCGCCCGTTCCACGTAGAGGTCCTCATCGCCTAGTGCTAGCAGAGACTCTGCTTGGCCGCGTTCGCGCTTGGTAGCGTCTAGCGTAGCTCTTATTTTCTGCCGCGAGCACTGTTTCGCGTACCGTTCGTCCTAGATACACGCGAGCACTGTTTTGCGTACAGTTCGTCCTAGATACACGCGAGCACTATTTCGCGTACCTTTCGTCCTAAATACACCGTACCTTTGGTCGCGCTCTTGCGGTCGTACCAGTAATGAACCGCGAAATGAAGGCGCTTAGAGCTGGGTCGAAAGAGGCCGCCTCCTGTCCGGCCATCATCTCTGTTGCGGGAGCCACGGTGGACCTCCCCCCCGAACAGTGGAAGCTGCACACTGAGGATAAGCATCCTCTCACGGCGCGTCTGTTCGACTTTGTCACCGGGTGAGATCCATGCGTTCCATTCCCTGACTCCAATATGCACGCGTTGTTTATGGTCGCGGTGTTTAGGCTGTTCGCGACATGTCAACAATATTTATTAGTGGGCAGTGCAGGCCGCGGCATACCTCCGCTGTGCTTTTTGGTCGGGTTGTTTATGGTTGAGCTTTTCCCCGCTGTGTTTTACACCGTCCCGCACAGCGTGATTGTCCGGAGGTATCTGGAGAAGGAGGTGCATGAGCACGTCCGAATCGTGACGAGCGGTGTTGTCGCGGACATAGTCGCGGGTCGCGATGAAGCGGTCCAAGCCTTTGCCGGTTTGATGGAGTGCAGCCTGGTGGTTTTCTGCATCTGGTCCGAGTGAGTTTTCATTGGGAGTGTTCACTTGTACAGGGAATGCACTCGTTTACGTGGTTTAACGCGGTCGTCAATGGCACGTTCAGGGACTTGTACAAGAAGAGCTCAAACGCGAGCATGCTCATTCTGCTTCACCCCGACCACCTGTCACTTGACGGTGACGAGACGTGGAACACGCGGTTCGTTCGCGTTGCTATTCCCACTGGTGGTGCGGAACACGTCACCGCGGCGGATGCGATTGTGGAGTGAGTACCGCATACTGGTTTATCATCAGTACCACGTTCATTTCCGCTCCGAGGCTCATGTCGCTAACCGTGCGTTCGCGTGGATATGTATGTGCTTTTGGGCAGGTGGTTTCAGGGTCGCGTCGACGAGGATTTTGCGTGCGGCTCCATTCAGTGCACCCGCTCCCGCCAGCTTAAGGATCCCGAGCATTCGTTGGATCTGGTACGTCTGTGTTGTGTACGTGTTCTCGATGACCGCCAATAGTTGCAGTGGTGCTAACAAACCCCATGTAATGTCATTGAAGGGCTCCTGCGGCAATCTCGCTTGTCTGTTCACGTTCGACAAGATCCTTGCCCAGTTGGACGTGGTCGCTGCCAGTGGATCCGGGCCGCAATTCTCGAGGCGAACCGCGAAGACTCTAAATGCACTGCGGCATGAGGCGTACTAAACCGCCGAAGAGCTCACGTTCAACTTGAGCGTGGATTTGACGCGACCCATGCACGGCGGTGAGGCTGAAGGTGCTGAAACGAGGAAGGTGCAGAAAGTGGTTACGGGTGCGCAGGTTGCTGACCATGGTGTTCTCGCTCTCACAGGTGCCGCTGGTGTTTCGAACCGCGGAGGTGCTCGGGGGGGGACGGTGGTCCACGCTGATGACGAAGGGGCCGAGGATACTGCGACAAAGGGTGCAACCCGCGATGAGGCTGACCGCGCTGTTGCGCGTGAGGGGGAGGAGTCGAGCGAGGAGGAGGCAGAGGCTCACGTGGTAGCGGCCGTGGCATCCAGCAAGCCCACTACATCCGGCAAGAGCATCAAGCACCTCGCGCAGCACTTGGCCCCCGGTGCTGGAAGCGCGGGCCCGAGTGGTGAGGTCGCGGGCAAGAGTCCCGTGACAGGTCCGCGTGATCACGCGTCCCTGTCCTCGTTGCCATCGCATAAGCTTGCTGCCGAGATCCTGCAGCTCGAATGCAGGCTTGCAGCGCAGGCCGAAGTGAACGCACGGCTGAAGAAACGCCAGGAGTCGGGGGTTGGTGGGGTCGCGGTCGTGGGCTTTGAGGAGCTTGCGCTCGCGCTTGCTAGTGCGGTTCGGATGTTGGAGAAGGAGGCGAGGGCGATCGCGCAGGAAAGAGCGGCCCTGGTCGATACGCGTAACCAGGAGGCGTTGGTGCTGGGGCGAGTGGACGCGAGGCTGGGATAGTTGCAGGGGGTGGTGACAGACTCCATGGAAGCCGCTCAAAAGAAGCTGACGGACGAGGTTGCGCGGAAGATCGACAACATGTCGACCGCGGTCTCCGCGACAGCAGAGCGGGCAATCACCACCAGCGGGGTCACGAACGCGCTGCACACCCTCATCGCGCTCGTTGGAGGAGCCCCCCTGCCGCGCACGAATAATGAAGGAATGGCCGCGACGGAGATTGCCGAGACCGGGGATGCAGAGCATGGAAAACGGGCAACGAGTGCGAAGGCGGAGAATCAATGGGGGGCGAAGAGGCAGAGAGGTCCCCAGGCAGTGGCCGCGGTGCGCAATCCGAGCGTGCAGGACATGCTGAAGCAGAAGTGGGGCGCTGCATCACGAGGTGCAGCACCGCCTGGTCAACCGGGTTCTAGCTCGCGCTCCATCCCACCTGGAGGAGCTGCACCCAAACCACCGGGCCCTGCCGGGGCAACCGCGACAGTGACAAGTACTGTGGGTCGGGGCAAGGGTAAGGCGGAGGATGGAGAGGCGCCGGCTGCTGTGGGTTCGCTGGCCTCGAGGCGTGAGGTCTAGTCCGCAGCGGCTGCTGCGGCAGAGGGCAGGCAGACCACGCTCACACCCGCTCGTGCTGCAATCACCGCGGGAAATCTGCACAGCGCACTGGCATCTGCAAGTCCTATCGCGGCCTCGATTGAGGTCAAGGCGGAGAAACGCGGACGGGGTGGCAAGAAGTTGCCCCCTCCACCCGTGTACACAATCGACAAGGACGATGCGGATGAGGAGCTGGAGGGTCTCGTGAGCAGGTGGGTCGAGGCGGGCGACGGAGGAGAGCAGGGTGGGGAGGCCGCGGTCGATGTTTATAGCGGCGGGGAGAGTGCAGACGAGCAAGATGGAGACCCCGTGATCGTGGAAGGTGGCACAACGGGAGGACATGGTGACACCGGCCCCAAGCACAAGGGCTGCGGCATCCGCGCTCCACCCAGGGGCGGGCCCGGATTGGTTTCTGAACCCCATCTGGGGGGGAAGAAGCGATGGCTCGGACACGGCGACCGCGAAGACCTGCAGTACAAGACCGCGATCGCGATGTATCCCTACGACGGGAAGGTCGACCCTGGGCTGAACCTGAGCTAGTAGCAGATCCGAGAATGGGCCGCGGACCTGTCCATTGCCGAGGGGTTACATACGGGCCTCTTAATCACCATGCACTACCACAACCTCGTGGCAAGCAAGGACAGGTGAGCTGTGCCAATCCACCATCATCTAGTGCGTTCATACGATTTGGTATGTTATCATGTTCTGGCCGCTCCAACCCACTGCGTGGCAGGTGGCAACGCATGTTCGATTCCTATCGCGAGCTAACCAAGCCCAGAATGCACACCACCAACGTGATTGCATGGGCCACGGTGGTAGGCAAGGAGGTTGCGGCAGAAGAAGCGGATCTCGGCGACGTGGAGCCGACGGACTACGCGGGAGCGATCGCATGCGCCATTGTAATGGTGTGGGAGGTCACTCGCGGTTCTAACGTCACTGCCGCAGCAGATAATGGAAACCTGGCCGCGCGTGCTGCTGGTTGCTATGGAGAGCGAAGCCGTCTCTTCCCCGTAGTATCCGCGTATGTCATCAATGCGGTGCGGAAGCGCAATCGCCGCGAGGAAGATGAGCCATAGGTTGTCGCGGGCCCAAAGGGGGTCGCCGCCACGATCGTGTCCGGAGTCGTGAACGAGGTCGTTGCAAAGCCTCGCGATCTCAGGCACATTGAGTTGGCCGCCCGCGAAACGGTGGACGTTATCATCACCTGGTGCGACTGCTCGGTGGCAGGGAAGCAGATGGAGTCCTTGGGTTTGTACCAGGATCGTTTGAAGAAGCGGACTTGAGTGCGTGTAGTATCGCGTAGCATGTGCACAGCTTGTCTGCCATGCTTGAGTTCTACTCGCGGTCGATTGTGCTGGTGCATGTAGTATATCATGTATGTGTGTGTATGTGTGTGTGTGTGTGTGCGCGCGCGGGCATGCGCGTGAGAACCTAGTGTTGACATTTGGAACAATATGTGAAGGTTTGTAGGATTCAGTGGGTGCGTGTGTTTGCGCGTGTGCCATTTTAGTAGTAATCTGCATTCGTCTTAGGTATTCCCACACATTATCATTTTACACACTACGACACGAACAATCTATGTACATTAGGCAACAGCAGCCCGCGATCACCACGGCCGCGATGTAAATCAGCACTATCTTCGCGCAAAACAACAGCAGCCCGCGATCACCACGGCCGCGATGTAAATCCGCACTATCTTCGCGCAAAACAACAACACTCGCGGTCGATTATAGGGACCCATAACATCGCACCCGAAGACGGTGATATCAAGACGAACAACAGCGGGGTCTATCCACTTACTGCAAGTCTGGCATCAGCGCACAGTACTGGGGCCACGCGATCGTGAACTCAGAATCGGGAAGAGAGGCATTGATGAGATGGTCGCGAACAAGCATCCATTTCACACGCAACTGCACCTCCACCGAAGAACCCTTCTTGAGCTGGCTCAGTTCCAGATCAACACTCTTCTTCTTTACCGCGATCCCTTCCGATACACCCGACATGCCCACAGCTCCTGACATGAGGTCGAGCTTGTCGAGCACTACCGCGATATTGTCTCCTTGCTCCACCCTGTGGGCGATGAAGTTCATGATTCGCTTGACACGGTTTATCGCGTTCTAGCCGCCTCCCTCCTCTCCAATGAGCGCGGCCATTCGCGTAACTGCGCCGCGGGGCTGGGCCAGAAGCGACTCTGGACTCTCGAGGATCAGCGGGTGCGTTGTCTTGTACAGCTTCCATCCGTCTGACGGTTTGGTGGCGTTGACCCATGGAAGGACGATCGCGTCCCGAATCGTCTGTTCCCTAGTGGGCGTTGCGGGTTTCTTCCGCGTCCCCTGCTCGGTGGGAGTTGTGGCATTGGTCGGCGCGGCCGCGGCTCCAGGAGTGGTTGCCTGGTTAAGAACCGCGGTCGGCTCTGAGCTGCTCACGGTGAGCCGCGACAGCTGGGCCTCCAAATCATTCACGCGCTCGTCCTTCTCGGCCAGCTTCCGATCGCGATCCTCCAGCAGCCCCTCCAACTCTTTCACCCGTTTATGAGTCGCGACCAACTCTAGGCCCAGTCTAGTGTTGTCCGCTTGTGAACGAGTCAAGTACTCAGTGAGGACGGTCACTTGGTTCTGCGCGTCCATTCTGGTACTCACCTCCTGCATGGACAGAAAGCGACCGCGAACTTGTTATGGTTTGGCATTGACATCACAGAAGAAAGATTATGAGACCATTCAGTACTTACTACGGGCTGGGTCAGTGTAGGTGTGTTGCGTTGTACTATGGCGAGTTGATTTGCCAATGAGACATCTGCAGCCCACGACGCAAATTCCTCCGTCTGGCAGAGCGGGTTGTTGACCACGTACGGGTGTTGCGGCTGGTGGATGTAATACATCGCCAGATCTTGCGCGACCGCCATCCTAGCATCCCCATCCAGCTCCTTCAGTATGTTTAGCCCCGCAGTGTCCTGCTTCTCCAACTTCTGCGTTTTCACCATCCTGCGGATGTAATCCTTGCACAGTGACAATAAAACAACAAGGTAGTGAACGCGGTGCCAGAGTGTTATGTGGGATGCTCGCGGTCGCGTATGCGTGAACCACACATAGCTGTTGCTGTCCTTTGTCCGCGGCGGCCCATGGGAAAATGTGCTTCCTCAGTAGCTCATCCAGCTTATCGCTGACCGGAACAGTTGCGCGACCCAGGAAGTAGTCACCGTCAACCCCGGTGAAGCCCGCCTTCGGCAGAACGGCCTCCCTCGGAATGGTTGTGAGGTAGTGCTTAGTCATCACGTCGATGAAGCGCCAACCCCCCAGCCTCGCGAGCTGATCCGAAGGCATTCCGTCCACGGACGCGTGCTGCACCCCTCTAGCCCTGGTCGCGTGTACCGCACGCGAGCATGTGATTCCCGCGTCCCGGAGAATTTTCGCCGCCCAGTCGTGATGAGTCGTAGGCGGTATTTGCTTCTCGTTGCCTGCGCAAAAGGGGAAGAATAGGTATTGATCGTACCACGTGGAGGGTTCCGTGAAGTCGAGAGGGGGTGCTATGTCCTCGTAGAGGATGGGAACCAAGTCGTACACCCAGTGCAGCCACAGCAGCGTGGCTCCGACCGCGCACAGCGTCCAATGTATGTGCCTCACAGCAGATATGTAGTTGAGTGAGAAGTCATTGTTTGTCTAGCCCGTCCTGCACGCGCAAACAAACATGAACGCGTTCCTCACTGGATCGGTCTCCGATTTTGCGCCTAGCTTCCACATCATTATGTCTGGCAGCTGCAGGTTTCTGATCGTGCATCCGCGGGCCAGAGTGTGATGAACGAGCACGGTCATCGTGCGGATGTTGAGGTCGCGATGCATTGCCTGCGTGTATGCTTTCTTGGCTAGTGTGAAGCTGGTCAAGATCGCGTCCATGCTGGTCTTCCGCATCATATGCTTGAACTCGTCCGGGGTGTACGTGTCCGCGGCCGTGCCCCGATGGCGATCCATGTGTTCCCTGCGCACCAATTGGGACGATAGTGCGGGTGTTAGTGGACGCGGTATTGTTGGGCATTAAACGCGTTCACTGAGAACGTATACTTTAGCGATATGTTAAAATAGTAAGAGTAGGGCCTAGGCTTAGTAGCCTAGGCCAAAGGAAGTCGAGAGAGTTGGAAAGGGAAAAGAGTGCGCTTCACTATAGGTTTGCTAGAACATATAGCAAAGTAACAAAGAAGGTTCACCACCAAACAAAGTTTATAATAACTACACTAACTACAGCTACAGGCAGTTACAGATATATTCTGACACTCCCCCATAACTGCCTGCAGCAGAAGCTAATGCAGAGACACCCCCTGAAGGGGTACACCAAGCGCAGCAGAAGGAGAGGGCAAGTGAGGAGGAGGGACTATATGAGGAGAGGCTGCTGGCAAGTGAAGCTGCTGGCTCCAAGGCGGCTGCTTCTTGGAACCTTCCTCAGCCCTCCAACTCCCCCTTCCACACTCCTTGACAACCCTAGCCCCTCTCCCCCAACTCCCCCACACCCTCACATCCACCCCCCCCAGCGGCAGCTGCAGCAGTGGGAGAGAAAGGAGGAGGAGGGGAAGGGGATCACACACACCCATCACCCCCATACCCGCCACCCCCATAGCCTCCGTTCCACGGCTGCACGCGCAGCAAGGAGACAAAGAAGGGGGGGGGGAGGGGGGGGGGGGCAGGGGCGACAGAGCAGAACAGAGCGCACGAGGGCGCGGGTAGCAGCAGGGCGCACAAGGGCGCGGGCAGCAGAAGAGCGCACGAGGGCGCAGGCAGACCAGAGCGCACAAGAGCGCGGACAGCAGCAGAGCGGCAACAGGCACGGGCAGCACAGGCACGGGCAGCACAGGCACGGGCAGCACAGGCACGGGCAGCACAGGCATGGGCAACAACAGGCACGGGCAGCACAGGCACGGGCAGCACAGGCACGGGCAGCAACAGGCACGGGCAGCACAGGCACGGGCAGCACAGGCACGGGCAGCACAGGCACGGGCAGCACAGGCACGGGCAGCAACAGGCACGGGCAGCACAGGCACGGGCAGCAACAGGCACGGGCAGCACAGGCACGGGCAGCAACAGGCACGGGCAGCACAGGCACGGGCAGCAACAGGCACGGGCAGCAACAGGCACGGGCAGCACAGGCACGAGCAGCAACAGGCACAGGCAGCACAGGCACGGGCAGCACAGGCACGGGCAGCAACAGGCACGGGCAGCACAGGCACGGGCAGCAACAGGCACGGGCAGCACAGGCACGGGCAGCAACAGGCACGGGCAGCACAGGCACGGGCAGCACAGGCACGGGCAGCACAGGCACGGGCAGCACAGGCACGGGCAGCACAGGCACGGGCAGCAACAGGCACGGGCAGCACAGGCACGGGCAGCAACAGGCACCGGCAGCACAGGCACGGGCAGCACAGGCACGGGCAGCAACAGGCACGGGCAGCACAGGCACGGGCAGCACAGGCACGGGCAGCAACAGGCACGGGCAGCAACAGGCACGGGCAGCACACGCACGAGCAGCACAAGCACGGGCAGCACAGGCACGGGCAGCAACAGGCACGGGCAGCACAGGCACGGGCAGCACAGGCACGGGCAGCACCGGCACGGGCAGCAACAGGCACGGGCAGCACAGGCACGGGCAGCACAGGCACGGGCAGCACACGCACGGGCAGCACAGGCACGGGCAGCAACAGGCACGGGCAGCAACAGGCACGGGCAGCACAGGCACAGGCAGCACAGGCACGGGCAGCACAGGCACGGGCAGCAACAGGCACGGGCAGCACAGGCACGGGCAGCACAGGCACGGGCAGCAACAGACACGGGCAGCACAGGCACGGGCAGCACAGGCACGGGCAGCACAGGCACGGGCAGCAACAGGCACGGGCAGCACAGGCACGGGCAGCACAGGCACGGGCAGCACCGGCACGGGCAGCAACAGGCACGGGCAGCACAGGCACGGGCAGCACAGGCACGGGCAGCACAGGCACGGGCAGCACAGGCACGGGCAGCAACAGGCAGCAGCAGGCAGCACAGGCAGGCAGCCGTACCGAGTCCAGGAGCAGCGGCGCATACAGCTGTAGGGTCGGCGCCGTGGGCTGCTGCTGGGGCAGCTCGTGGGGTCCAGGGGCGGCTGCTGAGGTCCAGGGGCGGCTGCACCAGAGGCGGCTGCTCCAGGGGCGGCGCTGTGGGCTGCTGCTGGGGCGGCTCGTGGGGTCCAGGGGCGGCTGCTGAGGTCCAGGAGCGGCTGCTCCAGGGGCGGCGCTGTGGGCTGCTGCTGGGGCGGCTCGCGGAGTCCAGGGGCGGCTGCTGAGGTCCCGGGGCGACTGCTCCAGGGGCGGCGCTGGTGCAAGGTAGGCCCGCGCGCGGCTGCAACGCTGGCGCGGGCGCAAGTGAGGCAGAGGCGGTGGCCAGGGGGGAGGGCGCCGCGACGAGTAGGAACGGCGCCCAAGGGGTGCCGCTACGAGTAGGGGCGACGCCCCAGGGGCGCCGCGACGAGCAGGGGCGGCGTCCAGGGGGCGCCGCGACGAGCAGTGGCGACGCCCCGCGGGTCCCGCGGTGGCATCACAACGAGCAAGGCGGCGCCATGCGGGTCCTGCAGGGGCGTCGCGACGAGCAGGAGCGTCGACGCCCGGGTCCCGCAGGTGCGTCGCGACGAGCAGGAGCGGCGCCTTGCAGGGCGCCGCGAAGTGGAGGGTACGGGCGGGCAAATCAGGCTCGCGCGTGGACGTGAGGCAGGCGCGCAGGCGGCGTGAAAGCAGGCCACGCGCGGGGCAGGAAGACGCCGCGCGCCCAGGGCGCACGGCGGGCAGAAGCCCGCCGTGCGTCCTGAGCACACAGCGGGCAGAAAATCGCCATGCGCCAAATACGCCGCGCGTCCGAGGCGCGCGGCAGGACGATAGGCAGCGGAAGCACATTGGTGGGCCCATTAAGGAAGGCAGCAGGAAGGTACCTGCTCTGATTACCATGTTAAAACAGTAAGAGTAGGGCCTAGGCTTAGTAGCCTAGGCCAAAGGAAGTCGAGAGAGTTGGAAAGGGAAAAGAGTGCGCTTCACTATAGGTTTGCTAGAACATATAGCAAAGTAACAAAGAAGGTTCACCACCAAACAAAGTTTATAATAACTACACTAACTACAGCTACACGCAGTTACAGATATATTCTGACACGATAAACCGCTTGTACTGGTCGCGTACTTGAACGCAGACCTAGATGTGACACTCTGCAAAGTCGCGCAGCAGGTTCAGAACGGGCTTCGTGAAGATGGCCCCGTCCAGCTTGATGAGCAGGTTCAAAGCCTTGAGACGCCCCATCAGCATTGCCGGGGTGCACTGGCGTCTCTTCTTCAATGTCTTCTCTGGCCGCTTGAGTGTGGCCATCCTGTCCGCCTGCGCGACTGTTTCGTTCGCGAGGAAGGTCACGTATTTGCGTAAGCACCACGGATTCGTCTCAGGGCCGTGGAACCATTGCTCGTCGCCCTCCGCCATCTTCCAGTCACCACCCATGTTCTGTTAGAGCGCGGCCCCTATCTCGTCGGGGTTCGCGTTTCTCAACGCGGCCTCCTCACCAAACCTACCCGCGTCCAGTTTAGGCGGCTCGTGTGCCATGTGTCAAACATTTATATGTTTGTGTGGTTCTAGGCTGTAGTGGGTCACACCATAAGGGGTACACCAGATTAGGGTTTGACATATTTGTACTGTTGTTCCTGCTAGTCACTCATCATTCTCGTTTCTCATTCTGACATGGTATTACGAGCCTAGGTTCCACCTAGGACCGAAACGATAGGGCCCACCGTTTCCGCTAGCCGCGCCCTCGTGCGCCGCCGTTCTTTTTTCCTGCGCCTCGAGCGCCTCCTTCTCAAGGCCCCGTATGGCCCCGCGCTAGCCTCTCACGGCCCCCGATCGGCCCCGCGCTAGCCTCCTAAGCCCCCGTCGGCCCCACGCTAGCCCCGCGCTAGCCTCCTAAGGCCCCCGTCGGCCCCGCGCTAGCCTCCTCAGGCCCCCGTCCGCCCCGCGCTAGCCTCCTAAGCCCCCGTCGGCCCCACGCTAGCCCCGCGCTAGCCTCCTAAGGCCCCCGATCGGCCCCGCGCTAGTCTCCTAAGGCCCCCGTCGGCCCCACGCTAGCCTCCCACGTCCCCTGCAGGCCCCGCGCTAGCCTCTCACGGCCCCCGACCGGCCCTCCCGCGCTCGCCCCCCCCCCTACGACCGAGCCGCAAGGCGCGACCCAACCGAGCCGCGCCGCCCCAGCCGAGCCGCGCCGCCCTAGCCGAGTCGCGCCGCCCTAGCCGAGTCGCGCCGCCCTAGCCGAGCCGCACCGCCCCAGCCGAGCCGCGCCCTACTTACCTGTGCACAGCACTGCTACTGCTACTGCTACTGCTACTACCAACACTGCTGCTACTGCTACTTCCACTATGGCTAGCCCTACAGTTCTCTCGTTCGATTCTGAGGGCCGCCCGATTAAGTTTGATACCTGGCTCGATGATCTGCACCTGTTCCTCCAGCTCACTGCTAGAGAGGATATCTCGCTGTACGATCACGCACTAGGCACAGTCCCTGCTCCTGCTACTACTGCTACCGCTACTGCTCGCTCGCAGTGGCAGACTCGCGATGCCCACGCCCGCTTTGCCATTCGCAACTCCCTGCCAGTCGATGAGCGTGAGCACTTCGGCCAGCATCAGACTGCGCAGGCCCTGTACACTGCTGTAGTTGCGCGCTACTCCTCCCCGGCCTCAGCTGCACTAGGCCGTCTCTCCCTTCCCTACCTGTTCCCCGACCTGTCCGCTTTCCAGACAGTCGCTGACCTCATCACTCACCTCCGTACTAGTGATGCCCGCTTCCGTGCAGCCATGCCCGCTGAGTTTCTTGCCTCCAACCCTCCCCCGCTCTGGCTCACTCTCTACCACCTAGTCACCCGCCTCCCTGACACTCTGCGTACAGTCAGGGACCACTTCCTAGCTCGCTGTCCCACTGAGCTCACCATTGCCGCCCTCGAGAAGGAACTACTTGCAGCTGAGAAGAGTATTGTAGCTGTAGGTGCCTCTCGTGGCGACCCCCGCACCCCTTTCTTCGAGGGGTGTTCCCCCTCCCCCCTCCTCCCCTCTGTCGCCTCTGGTGCTGCTGTCGACCTTCTTGGTGCTGAGCAGGTCGGCTCTGCGTCCGCTCCCAGCGGGCGCCGCAGCGGCAAGGGCAGGGGAGGCAAGGGCGGTGGGGGTGACGGCGGGGGAGGTGGTGGTGGGGGTGGTGGCAGCGGCGGGGGCGGTGGCGGGGCTGGAAGGGCTAGTGGCAGCGGTGGGGGTGGTGGAGGCAGCGGCGGCGGCGGTGGCCGCGGTGGGGGCGGTGGTGGTGGCGGCAGTGGACGTGGCGGCGGCAGGGGCGGTGGTGGTCGTGGTGGAGGCGGCGGTGGTGGTCGTGGAGGCTCTGGCACTGGCCAGAGTGCGCAGCACCCTCAGTCCTCCCAGGAGCTTCGTGACTGGTACTTACAGCACGGGGGTGGGGGGGGTAGCCTTAGCTGCACGTACGTCATCCGCACTGGTCGCCGCAAGGGACAGACGTGCGGGAGGGCGCACACTTCGCAGCGCTGCTTCTCTCGCCTAGATGACGCTTGGCGTGCTCAGTTTCCTGACGCTCCTGAGCTCCCTCAGTGGGCTGATCTCCTCAAGAAGGATATCGATATCTATGCTCTTGATTTTGATGTTATTCTCAAAGCAATGTATGCATTGACTATTAGTGGAGAGGAGGACCAGTACCTGAGTGTTCCGCCTGACCCAGGCATCCGCACGAGTGAGGCTGCCGCCCTAGGTACTTGCGTGTCTGCTGCCCCAGGTACTGGTGAGGCTACTGCTCTAGGTGCGTGTGTGTCCGCCACCCCAGGTGCTACTGAGTCCACTGAGGCACTGCACACCTTCACTCTAGACTCAGGCGCTTCGCGCTGTTTCTTTCGTGACCGCACTGCTCTTGAGCCCCTTGCTCGACCAGTTGCTGTCTCGCTCGCTGACCCCTCTGGGGGTCCGGTCATTGCGACCTCCTCCACCCTCCTTCCTTGTCCTGCTGTCCCGTCGGGCACACTGTCAGGTCTCCACCTCCCCTCGTTCTCTACGAACTTGGTGGCGGGCTGTGCGCTTCAGGATGGGGGTGTTCACCAGTTCACCCCTGCCTACGAGCGTGTGACACACTGCACGTGTGCTCGGACGGGCCGTCACCTGGCTACCTTCACGCGGCAGCCGGGGTCGGACCTGTACACACTGACCACTGAGTCCCCTCAGGTAGCGGCGTCTGCGTCTGCGTCTGCGTCAGGTCAGCTCTCTGCCCCCTGCTCGTGTCGCTCTCTAGCGCACAAGACTGTCCTCTGGCACCACCGACTTGGTCACCCGTCAGTGCAGCGCCTTCGGGGCATGCACGCCCGGTACCTTGTCTCTGGTCTTCCTCGGGTACTCCCTCCCCTCCCACCCTCCCTTGCTCCTCCTTGTCTTCCCTGTGTCGAGGGGCGGCAGCGCGCTGCCCCTCACTCCTCCTCGTTCCCCCCGACGACTGCTCCTTTGCAGACGCTCCACATGGACGTGTGGGGCCCAGCCCGCGTCCGTGGTCAGGGCCAGGAGAGGTACTTCTTGATCGTCGTTGACGACTACTCGCGCTACACCACGGTCTTCCCCTTGCGCACCAAGGGTGAAGTCCCTGATGTCCTGATCCCTTGGATCAGCACAGCACGTCTTCAGCTGCGAGAGCGTTTTCGCTCGGAGTTTCCTGTCCTGCGCTTGCACTCTGACAGAGGTGGCGAGTTCTCCTCCGACCTCTTGGCAGCCTACTGTGCCGAGCACGGCATTCGCCAGTCGTTCACGCTTCCGGCCTCTCCACAGCAGAATGGGGTTGCTGAGCGCCGCATTGGCTTGGTCATGGAGGTCGCTCGTACCTCCTTAGTCCACGCGGCTGCCCCCCACTTTCTGTGGCCGTTTGCGGTCCGGTACGCTGCGCATCAGCTCAACCTCTGGCCCCGTGTCTCCGCTCCGGAGACCTCGCCCACACTGCTGTGGACGGGGGAGGTTGGCGATGCGTCACGCTTCCGTGTCTGGGGATCCCGAG